CTTTTTTAATCTTCTCAATGCGAACTAAAATAAATATATATAATAGAAGAAATATCTTTTATATTATTTTTATGATTTTATATTGTGTTAGTATTATATTACATTACATTAAATTGCACTTACATTACGTTACATTACATTACATTTAATTGCACTTACATTACGTTATATTACGTTACACTACATTGTATTACGCTACGTTATACTTACATTACATTATATTAATATCAACAATTAAACAATGTACGGAGTAAACATTGAAAGAGTTACTAGAAAATTAAGTAGGTAGTTTATAGTGTACTTACAAAATTGAACCAGTAAAAGAGTTTCGACTTTTCGATTGCTTCTTCTCAGATCCCTCCGGGGCATAGCAGTAACGTTACAGACGGTTGAGCAACAAAGTAGTATTTCGAATTGCTATCACGTTCATTTTATTTGCATCGAAATGTACAGCACGAAATCAATTCGTCACGGTGTGCCGTGTTGGATTGCCTGGCAAAAACAAAAAAGGGAAAGGAAAAAAGGCGCGAACGACTTTGAAGCGTTTGAAACGCGAAATGGCATCAGATCGGTACATATATCGGAGCCGAGTCAAACAAAACATCGTAAATCACGATCGGCAACGGGAATCGCCGCGTCAACGAAAGATAACGTTTCTTCTCCTTTTTTTCTCTCTTTCTCTTAATCTTCCTCTCTTTCTCTCTTCCTGACGCATAAATCGACGACGATGTTTTCCCAACGATCCGGGGCCCCTCATTCGTTTCGCAATGTTGTAAAGTGGTATTCCGCAATTTACCGCGAAGTGATGTCCTTTTATTTTGCTTTCCGCCGCCGCGCGGAACCAGGCTGCATACCGGCGTTCTACAGAGAAGTCTACGAGAAGATCTGCTCTCCCACAAGTGGAAATGTGGAACGAGAGGTGTTTAAATCCCTGCTTGTCAAGTCCCAGCTGAGCAGCTCCGTTCTCAGCCAGGTATGCTGTCTTCGTTTCCTCTTCTTATCTCTTTCCACCTTTGTCGCTGGCTCGGGGTCCGCGTGCTCACGCGGCGGCGGCGTTCACGCGAGACTAGGGAAGGACCTCGACGGTTGCACGAAATCGGAGCCGAGTGTCAAGATCAGAGGCAATAGGCAACGGTAATTGTTAAGTACAGGAAAATCGTTCATGCGCATTTTTGACATTTTTTGAGAGCCGGATGAAGCGATTCGCTTCCTTGCGGTTCGGTCTTCATTCTCACATGCTTCAGTAATGTTTGAACATATTTTTGAACATAGTTTCGCCTCATTAGACCGCGGATGTATAGTAACAAGCAAAAGTGTCCATAACCTTCTAAAACGGTATAGCTTTTCTCGAATAGGCCTTAAACGGTTTGAATTTTATTGTCAATGTTAGAGGGACTAGTTTACTGTACGATCAATGAAATACTTCTTTTTTTTTTAATGTTGGAATATTATTACTTGGAATAAAAAAAAATGTAAAAACTCTCTCATTTTTCCACTTTTTCATCTGAGCCTATAATGAAAATTTAAGAAATGCATTTAATACTTCGCGATTACTTATATACATGCTGAAAATTTCATTGAAATCGGTCGATGCATAGTCAAGCTACTGAAACATGTAAAAATTATCTGTTTTGGCAATCTGATCTTCGAGATTTGAGAAATACTGCGTGATCTTTGATTGTTCGCAGCTTACACTCAGTCAAAAAAGTCTCTGTACACCTTTTGAAAGGCAATAACTTTTTTAAAACTGCACTAAACGATTTGAATTTTTGTTTAGATGATGGAGGGACTAGTATACTAAACAGTGACTAAAATGCTTTCTTTTAATTTTGCTATTACTTGGAATAACAAAAAAATAAATAAAAAGCTCTCGTTTTTTAACTCTTTTATCTGAGCTTATAATGAGAATTTAAAAAATGCCTTTCGTAAATCTCGGTAATTTATATGCGTGCTGAAAATTTGATCGAAATCGGTTAGCCCAGAGTCGAGCTATAGGCGATTTAAAAACTGCAGATTTCTTACAGTTTTTAGTCAAAATTGTAATAAAACTGCGATTTTTGCTATCTTCAACATGTAACTCATAACAACGTCAACCGATTTCGGTGAAATTTTCAGCATGTATATAAATTTCCGAGAAGTGTTAGCGAAAGTTTTTTTCACATTTTTTTATTTCAAGAATTGCAGAATTAGACAACAGGTATTAGATCAGTTTTAGGAAAGTTTTTTTTTTATACCGCGGTTTAAAAGGTATATGAAACCTTTTGCTCGTAACTGTACTATATCGTCGAGTGCCGTGTGGATCACATATGACGCTAATTTTCTCTTAGATTTGAAAATTCATTTTTATTGTAATATATTCGAATAAGTTCTTCTAGGATGTTTAGAATTACAGACTCTGACAATTTTTACTGAAAAAAATATTTAAACTAAAATTCGATAAAATTCGATAAACTAAAATTCCGTGCGCAACTGTCGAGGTTTTACTGTACATTTAGTGGTAATCTGGTGGTGGTTTGATTTTCTCGAGTTCAAGCGATAACATCTTTGTTCGCCTAATATGTACTGTGTGTGTGTGTGTGTTGAATGCGTCTCTTATCGTTATCATCATGTTTGATTAAATACATTGTAATATTTTGGGGGATTAAATCATCGGATCTGAGTCCAGTAAATTCAGTCCTAATTTTCCTTTAGCTTGTAAACAAAAATGGACAATTTGGGAAGAGGAGATACGATTATTCGAGTCTTGACATTTCGTTTTTATAATTGTTGATAATCGGTAACTATAAAAATTTACATTTTTGTGTAAAACTGAGGATCAATTAGGGAAAATTTACTGTACTTCCCTAAATAACAGCAAAGCTAAGAACTAATTAAGCTTAGGAAAACTAAGAATTAATACCCTGAGTTCTATTTCTAAAAATGCTTTCTTTGAGTTTGACTGTAGTGTATGTTCGTTAAAATGTTGTTTTAAATTCAAGCTTGACTTTTCTCTTCAGCTGTATTTATTTTATTGTCTAATTAGTAATTCGATGATGAGTGCACATCTATATTTAGATTTTCAGTACAATAAATTCTGAAAACACAGACTCTTATGCACATATTTTACGGAGACTAGATAAGATAAAATATCTAAACTGCAACAGTGACGATACGACAAATAGGACGCAAATAAATATGTACAGTGAAAATAATGTTTCACTGTCACGTTATTGATTTATAATACAAGGATTAGTGGCAGCTTTTTAGCGTTCAAAATGTAAAATACGTACACTTATTTGTTTCTAAAAATAATTTTAGAAACTTTGAGATCATCGAGTCTGAATATTCCTTGGATGCGCACGGCATTGAATGCGAGTTGGCTAATGCGTCTCTCCATTATTTACTGTTTCTACTTATTGTGTAATGGCGGTCGTTTGCACATGGATCAGATAAATTCTTCATGTCGTTATTCTCGAACAGGAAGCCTCCAGTAAAATTACAGATTGTATAATATATCCTCTCTTCGTTTGGATATTTTTATTTATCGAGAAATACAATCCTGTACCTTAGAGACGTTATTTAACAATGTAACATGAATATTTGATATAATAGCTTATTTTGGCCTGAATTAGGTCGACAATGTATAGTAGAAAATTATTCAAATTGAAATGAAAACGTTAATAATACTTATTGAATAACTGATTCTATCGATATTATTGAACGCAAATATGGCGGTGAGTGGAATTATCGAAGTTTATAACAGATAACATATTTCTTCCATCGTCGACAGCTTACGATTGCTTAAATAACCTTGGATAATTATGCGTAACAGACGGAACAATCTGCCATCAAATAGAAAGGACTTTTGCAATTTAAATTTTATTGCGGTGGCAATAATTAATAACAAGGATTAAAATATTAGCAGTAACATTTGTTCATTATTCGTCTTACTTCGTAATAATTTTGTCCTTAATATACATTTATACATACATGAACAGTAAATTCTCCCCAATTGTCCCTCGGCTTCTAAACGAAAATGGACAATTTGGGGGGAGGAACTTGGGAAAACGAGCCACGAGGCTCGAGTATTTCCTCTTCCCAAATTGTCTGTTTGTCGAAAAACTGAGGGACTATTGGAGAGAATTTACTATATTGATAAATAATTCGTCGCGGTTTTGTAGGTTACGCGCTGATACTTAAATTACAGTTCAATGGTTTAAATGTTTCTATTGAACTCACTGGTCGTCGTCTCTATTTCCTCAGTTTTTGACTAGTGCTGTCTGGCGAGTCGGCGAAATTGCTAAACAGGAATAATTGATTATTAGACAAAAAAATGAAAGACAGAATTTTTATAAAATTTTAACAAATGTCTGCAAATCATTTCATACAGTGGCGGCCATATATACTTAAATTGTATAACTTTTTCAAAACTGGTCTAAATGATTTGAGTTTTTTTTAATGACTATAACCTATAAGACAATGATTACAATACTTTTTTTTAAATTTTGTTATCACTTGGAATAACAAAAAAGAAATAAAAATCTCATATTTCTCAACTTTCTTACCTGAATCTATAATGAAAATAAAAAAAAATGCGTTCTGTAGATCTCGGTGACTTACATGCATGCTGAAAATTTCTTTGAAATCGGATATCCTTAACATGGACTGTAAACAATTAAAGATCGCGGAAATCGCAGTTTTTTTTACAAATGTCAACCAAATACAGGAAGTTTTCACATCTTTCAGTGGCCACAGCCTAACTATGCCTCAATCGATTTCATTTAAATTTTCAGCATGCATATAAGTTACCGAGGTTTACAAGATGCATTATTTAAATTTTTATTATAGGATCAGATAAAGAAGTTGAAAGTCATGAGTATTGTACCTTTTTTTGTCACTCCTAGTAATAGCAAAATTAAAAAAAGAGTCTTTCTATCATCTAAAAAAAATTTAAGTCATTTAGTCTAGTTTTAAAAAAGTTATACCGTTTCCTAAGCGTCTTTAAGTACATGGCCGCCACTGTACTATCAACATGTACCTTGAATTATGTATATTTTTGATAAACCACGTAGCCGTTGACGCGTATAAGCTGTAAAAATATTTCATCATTCGAACAATTTCAAGAATTTTCAATGACGTATACAAGATAAGAAATTTCTTAAATCCATAAACAAGTTCCACTATACTACGAAAAACGTGACTAATTTGCAATAAGAAAAACATTTAAGTTGTGAATAATCCTAAATCCTGAATTAATTCTACTACTGTTACAAATTTCATGTATTCAATTTCGCGATAAATTCATGAAACCGGATGTTATATGTATATCAGCGTTAATTAAATTCAAAAATGAGGACATCATAAAAATTTCAGTGACGAACTAAAAAATAATTTGAGTAAATTCTCATTCGAATTGCGTTTAAGTTACATTTAAAAATCAGGCTAACGTTAGAAGCTCTTTCTATGGTAAGCACGCCAATCGAATGAGATTGCATACAACCCCCTCCAAAAGTATTGGGACACCTATTGATTTAGTATAAATTGTAATTTCATATTCGGTTTAGGTAACATTTTATGTTCAGTATTAAGTTTTATGGGATCGTACCGATGAAAGTACACGTTACATTAGAAGTGTCTGTCACATACGCAATTAGTTTATTCATTTAGCGAGTTTTGTTCAATGAAAACTATATGAAAATTCTATATTATATTATATATATTATTATAAAAATTATTATTATAATATTATTATATATATAAATATATATATATATATATATATATAATTTTATATATATTATTATATATAATTATTATTATATATATTATATGAAAATACTATAACATGCATGCAACCACAAATAGAATCAGAAATAATAGTTAAACTAATAAAACGGATGCCGAAATTAGTCCAAGGATTAATTAAAAAAAGTGATGGATATATCGAAAAAAAAGAAAATTTAATTTTCTTTTATAAAATTGACGTTATTTTTA